ATTTTCTTTGATTCAGTTACATATACTTTAGGGTTCCCACACTTAATGACCAATGAATTTCCAAGGCCTTTTTTTAGTCGTTTGTGATGAACAAATTCCAAAATGGTCATATTGAAACTAAACTGTAAATCCAGAGTGGAAAGTGAAAGCATGTTGTGCATTATAGATCTCAGTGTATGGTTGAGTACTGACCAGGGTGACTGGTGAGATCAATGTTAGCCCAGTCCAGACTGCTAGCAATTCTGAAACTCTCTCTCAAAGAGTCAGCGTTACTGAACCAATCTGCAGGAACAACTGAAACAGAGAGAGAATGAGAGGATCGGGTCATCAGGACACTCTCATCCCATCAACTCCTCACTACTGAGCAGTTACACTCACCATTACTGTGTAGCAGCTTGTCAGGCTCAGTGTTGGAGTTTGGATGAATGTTAGAGTTCTGGCTTGGGTTTAGGTTGTGGATAAAACTAAAGTTAGTATTGGGTGTATTTGGGTTGAAGTTGCCATTGGTATTCAGGTTTGGGTTAAGAGCAGGGGTGGTGGTATATTGGTTAATATTAAGGTTTGGACAGGGACAGGCGCAGGGGGAGAGAGGAGGCAGGGTTGGCGTGTGGAGCGGTGTACTGTCATGTGTAAGTCCAAGTAAATTGGCAACATCCGCTATGAGAGAGAGTGAGAGAGAGATTCTGAATCATTAAGCTCACCTACACTGTCACATCTTATACCGACTTCATTCTAAATCAAAATTGATTCTGAAGTAAATGATAAGCTAAAGGAAAAGAGTTGCACAATCGATTTACTTACATTGTGAGGTGACTCTCTGTCTCACAGAGCGACAGAGGGACTGGAAGGAATTGTACAGATCTGGTAGGTTCAAATCAGCAAAGGAGAATCGGAAAGGGGGATCAGCATGAGGGTTTGAAGGAAAAGATGTAGCTATCGGGATGCTTGGACGCTGCTGCGGAAACAATGTTTGCAGAGATTAATTTGAGAGTTATTTGGATAAACGTTATATTACAACTTAAAAGAATAGTTCAGCCAAAAATGAATGAAAAATGAAATTGATTTACTCATCCTCACACCCTAACGCCAACTTATTTTCTTC